CTATCAAATCTCTGTTGTGATATTGATTTTTGGATGTATGCACGCATCTCTACTGTGATAAGCACAATAGCTAGTAATAGTGTAATGCTATCTAGCACAGTTGCCGATTGAGCACACTGAACAATATTTTACAACAAAAAGGGAATTGTATCTAAAGATGAAAAATTGTTAAATATATTATTCTACCTACAGAGCATTTTAGATTAAATCTTTGAATAAAATATATTTACACGTTTCGATTCCAATTTCTATAAATAAAAGACTTTTACTATAAAACATCATTTTATCTATAGTGATAACATTCATAATTTTCGCTGTAGCATTTTCATTTAAAATCAACAATAATATTTAGAATTGAATCAAGAAATTATTTTCACACAAAATGCTAACCATCTCTTCATCACTAACACAATCACACAGTAATGTTTAAGCATCTTTCTTCTTGCTTGTCCTCCGCTTTCTCAATCACAAATTTGCAACTTTTTCGAACCTTGCTGTTTCTTCTGTTGCTCTTGAATCTGTGATGACTTTTGACGTTTGTTATGCGTTTTTGAGAGTTTGAATATAAGATATACATATCTAATAGATTCTTAGTTGATATTTTTATGTGATTTTTAAGGATTTATTATTTGTCCCACTTTGCTTAGAAAAATATATACTTTTAATAATTTATCACATGAAATTTAAGTATGAAAAATCACGCTTACCAAGTAATTTTAAAAAAGTAAGTCTAGCGCTTAGTCTTGAATACTATTCGATCTAAGAATCTACGCTTATACATGTACATGTACCCGCAGCTAGGATTAGGATTTTTACTAACCAATCAGATTCGAGATTACAATACAGCAGTATCGAATACTTACTGTCGCTATTGATGATATAACTTCTGCAAATTTCGTTCTAATGTGTAGTGATATCAATCAGTGCATCTTCAATCTATCCGAGGATTGGAACACACTCCTTATCGCAAAGACCGAAGGACTGTTGATCCTGCTTATCATACATGATACGTTCTAATTAATGAAACAAGTTATAAAGGGTTACGTTAGTTTGTTTTAGAAATAAAATTCATTTTGCTTTTTTTTATTTCTTTGGAAGTTTTAAATTATAAATGGCACTTTAAACATCTAATTTGTTCATAATTCAATATTTGGCTAAATTGGAGGGAGGGATTTCTCAAGCCGATTAACAAATTACACACGTATGTGAGTAGATTGTCATTTTATGTGGAAGGTAGCAAACACCTTATTTACCCATTTAACGTAAGCTGTGGATACCCTGAGCGTAGGAACACACAATCGAAAATGATTTGGGAGGCGGTCAAATAATATAATGAAGTTACCAATTTTCCCTAACACGTTCACTTTCCCTATTTTGCCTCAGAATAGGTACGACGATTTCTTTATACTTTTTCATATTCGTATATAAAATCCAACTCGCAACCTATATAATTCCCTTCGATATCAAATTCTTCATCATATGAATCATCAAAACAAAATTAATCTAAAACTTGTGCTACCTTAATAGCCTCTTCTTTTCATTGTATTTCAATTTTCATCAACACTTCCCTTGTTACCTTTCTCTTGGTTTAGCTTGTTATCATTACCATATTCTTCCTTATCTTTCTCTTTTTGTTTATCATCTTCATTTACTTTATTCTCTTTCTCTTCTTGTTTATGATCTCCATTTACTTCCTCCCTCTTTTCTTTATTTATCATTTTCATTCGCTTTCTCCTGTTGTATTTCGTTATCGTCACCATTTTCTTCTTCTGCAGATCCAGCACGCATCGCTAAGCTTTGCATCCTCAGTTGTTCTAAACCTTCGGACTATCACCAAGATATTCGTCATTGTCGATGGTGTGATTTGAATCAGCAGGAAAATGATAATTTCTGAAAGCCTCAAGTCCCCACTCTATCATATTATCCCAGGTTGTCCACGATTATCATGACTTGCATGCTGCTCTTCTTCAGTCGGCTATAAGAGAATATAGTTTAATTAATTTTCTATTAGTTAAAGAGATTTTAAATGTAGTATCAATAATCAAAGTAAACATTTACCAAATGATAATTTTGTAAATATTGCATTTGACGTGGGAATATACAATTTAAACATATGAAAGCATGATTTTCTTCTCATTTTTTTCGTGACGTACTCTTAGGATGCTGTCCAAGTCGAAAATGTATGCTCGAGTTCTTTGCGTATGCTCGTTATTACTGGTGTTCATGTTTAAATTTCGATAACAGTTAGATACACATAGCACTAAACTCAAGATTGTATGATGTAAAAATGAATCCGTGATTGATTGATCTTGCCAAAAAAGTCAGGAGTTACATTTATGCCTTTCCATATGTTAACGTTAACTAAAACCAAATGATGTGTCGCTATACATGTGGTTATAGACGGGAAATATAACTGATGAATATATCAAGCTCAAAATGTTTAGTGGTAATTTCGAATGTAATTCTTTCTCTATGTGTATGAGCTCAGTCGATTCTTTTTAAGGGACTCTTCTGAGTCTATTTATAACACATCCTCAATACTCAAACCATTTATCATTTAACCTCATATATATATTATGTTAATTGGATAACAAATTTGATAAAATGAAAGAACTACATGTATTTAGCATTATGTTGATCTAAAATATTTGATGTCTCATTCTTAAAGTCAAAATTTTGCATTGACTATTAGTCAATTCATTTCCTGACGTTACCAATGTCAATATATTTATGACTATTGACTACCGTTATTGACGTCTGCCATCTCCACAAGCTTATTACAATATATTTTTGTCTCTATTTTTGTTGATTGAATATAACAATAAAATTTTGACAGACGAACTATCTACGGAAAGCTTCATGAATATCTAACGCTAAAAGCTAATAAGCCATTAACAATTTAGTTGAGTCATTTGAACACGATCATATAGAAATTTCGATCAGCATCACACCAAAAAAGTCTTGACCAAACATAATATTAAAATGTCGAGTCGTTAAATACTTTGGTGTTAATGTTGTGATGTAGTCCAAAATTTTAATAGAAGATCAATTATCCGAATGCTAAATATGAAAAGTCCATTATCTAATATTATATACAAGTTATCATGCAATCTCATTCAAATGTCGAGCTATATGAAAAATCATGATAATTTAGATTGAGTATGATATTTGATATTATATTTATGAATGAATGTTTGAGAAAATGAAAAGAATGGAACATAGAAGAAGAATAAGCGTTCTTTATATAAATATAATAACTACTGCCATTTATAATAATTGCGGATGTTAGTTAATGGTCGTCGCCCTTTATATGAATAATTCCATTCTAAAGTATAATAGTATCTCTTACCATTCGCATCATCTGATGAGTATTGCAAAACAATCTATAACGCTAAACAATAAGGTTAAAGAATGATAAAGCAACTTGCATATAAATTATTTATATAAGAATGAAGATTGCTATATGGAATACTGCTTATAATAATTCAAAACTCGTGTTGATTGTTATCTGAGTTTTCTCTATCACAACCCTTATTTCCATAAGTTTATCTTATTTTATTTCACCTTATAATCTTTTGAAATTTAAATAACAATTATTTTTTACGTCTAATATGGTTTTTTACTTTTATATTTTTTAGTCATGTAATCATTTGTGAATTTAATATTTTGTACAATTTAACATTACATTTAATATTTTGTGTAGTTAGGTTGTGTAAAAACTTAACGTTTTTTTATGATGCTTATTCAACAAAGCACATATATTACTAATCTGTGTAAATAGAAGAGTATTATTGCACTAAAGAGATTACTCTAATCAAGTAAAATAAAAATAAACTAACCTTTACTTGTTAAAGCCTTCTGTACAAGTAGTAGCGGATCTTCACTATAAACAAACTAAATCCAACCTCTGAATTTTTATATTGTTTCGTTGACAGAAACTAAATCCAACCTGTGCGACGTTATTTTGGAACGACACTGACCTTATTAGAGAAGCAATTTTCGTACAAATTGCCATAGGCCTTTAGAACTCCTAGAGAAACCTTCTACTTGTAAATCATTCAGTCCAAACTCAACGTTACCTTGTTATCCTCAGTTAAAGAATTAAAATCACTCGATAACATGTACATGTAATTAGCGCATAACAATATAAAAACCATCAATTGATATTTGTTATTAGATTTTTTTTATATACAGTATATCGACTAGAAAATAAAACGAAGCCATACGTACGTACTCATTAATGACTCGAAGAATCTGAAGGAAAAAAACATCAAACACTAACTATAAAAAAAATTAAACAACTTATTAGAACTGATACGAATAATATAATAACAATGTGTTTTAATGACAATTTATCCAGCATAATAATATAGAAAATCATTTTTTATACAGTTGACTCGAACATATGCCAGCAGCTCGATCAATTTTATTGTTATTTACTTAAGGTTGCGCTCTACGGTGTCGCAACAAAGTCTTTAGAAACAATAGAATCTAGACTGAAGCAGGTAGACTGGTCGTCGAAAAAGAACCTAAACTTTTACAGTTTCTCGGAATTCGTCGTGCATAGAATCAAGGCAAATTTTCGATATTATATATTGACGGATAATAGAAAAATAGAACTTGGAACCACATTTGTTTTTCGAATTTGAATCCGTTTTTTATTTTTTGATTAAATCCGAATACAAACTTTTGAATATGAAGATCGAATTTGATTTAAAAATTTATACAAGTGACGCTTGATAAGAAAATTTAGATGTCTTTCTTGTGATATAAGAAAGTTAATTAATAATCCCTCGATATAAGTTTCTTTCGTTAAGCCAAATAACCCTCTTGAGTGAGTTGTACGTGCATCATTTTGAAAATGATTCGGGGATATTTGAGAATAACTTTTCAAATGTACGTCGATTTTTTTTTAGTACGATTTAGTTGATTTTTCAAAAATTAGAGAAGGTAAAATAAATTAAAAAAAATATCGTGATCGCCACGATTTTTCCATTATGACAAGTTTGAATCAAAAACACGTATGTATTTAGGATTCAATTAATCTAAAATACTCGTGGACTTTGAAGCAAGAGTTGACAATTCCAAAAAAATCTATCTTTAATCTATTATAATGTCTAATTGCATAAATCTTGCTTACGTTATATTAAGGGAATACACGTTTAAAACTGCTAAATTTATTTTGTTGTATGTAGTTTTTATCCACAAATATACTAAAAAATATGAAGATTTTCTAATATGTCCAGCTGGAGTTAATTCATAAACTTTATTTATCATCCAATTATTATAGAACTCTTGGATCTACTAAAAAAAATTATATTTTTAATTAATATTAACTATAAATATAATAATAAAATAAATGATAATTAACACTCACAAATAACTTAAAACTTTTGTTTATCACTATATCAAGAGGTTGCAATTTAGATATTAATCTACCAGAAATTACTATCATATTAGTCACTATATTATTAAATTTTTACTTAACAGAATTAACTAAATGATCACAAAAAGAATCTAAAACTAGAAGTGATCTGGAATTCAATAATAAATCATCATTAGTTCTTTTGAACCAAATGTTTTCTACCTATCAGATCATTTTATTCTTATTAATCTATCTCTTCTCATTTATTCTTACAAATATATCATCAAAAAATATTTCTTGAAATATATTTTTCAATTTAAAAATAATGACAGGTGACAATTTAAATCTATTAGTCATATAATTCAAAATAATTATAAAAGTACTTCTTTTATATCCTGTAGTTTTAATACTAATAGTACTAAAATCATATTTTTCTAAGATATATGAACTAAGTAAATCAAAGTTCACAGGAGTTTCATCCATATTTCCAATAAATTGAAGTGAATAATCATATTGTAATCTTCTATAAAGAATATAACTTAAAAAACTTTATTGCTTTTCAAGTAAGTCTTTTGGCAAATATTAAGATATTATTATTTTTTGATAGGTTGAAAGATCATGATGAATCATAAAATAATTCAGCTATTTTTTAGAAAACTTAAAAGAAGAAATAGTTAAATATTTCTCTTGAAATTCATCAGTTTATGCAAGCTTTTTAGCCTTCTTTACTGCTATATTTCTAGTTATTGGTAAATTTTATATCTAATAATCCATAATTCACTTTGCTAGCTCTTGTTCTAAATCTGAAAAATATGGATTTTTACTCTTATATATTTTAATAAATGAGATATTAATAATTTGAGTTATTTTTTTTACTTCTTCAGTTATGAACTTGACTTAATTCTATATTAAAATATCTTGCTATTATATAAATACTATTTAAATAATCTAAAAAATATAAGACTATTAATTTCTCATATATATACTATTATTTTCTTTTTTTAAAGTAACTCTAGAGTATTTAGAACTTTTATTTTCTCTAATAATTATTTAAAAAGTAAAAATTATATACATGAAAAGTGAAATATGAATATAAAATAATAGATGTAATAGAAATTATAATTATAATTATGATTATAATCTATATATTATATCTAATTAAAAAATCTCTCTCTTATCAAAGTATCTCTCTAATTAAACTATTTGAATATTTTACAAATTTAAAAGTAAATTTATAAAAAATTCAGAGTAGTTTAGTTAATATATTATAATACTTATATTATAATAATTATAATTTTAATAATATTATAATATAAATATTATAACTAATTATAATTATATTATTAATAATTTTTTAATTAATTAAAATTTTAAATATTATATTATTATAATAATGATTAAAAATAATATATTCAAGACTAATTTATTAATAAAATATAATAAAAATTATAATTTAATTTTTAATATTAAAATAAAGTTTATTAATTATAGTTTATGTAACAATTTTGATTGGGTTATCTTCCTTTAGATCTCTTTTAGTTTAAGATCTTCATTTTGCGCTATCTGTATAACAGATTAGCTTTATATTACATTTTTAAGAAGATCATTTTCACTCTGGATACACAGAT